TTTGCTAACATTATCAAGCTTTTCTTCCCAAAAAGAACTGACTTTTTTATTAAAACGCCAGTAAATTGGTGTTAAAAAAGGCTGTTTTATTTCAATTCTTGAATTATTCGGTATGCAGAATGACATTGCATCTGTACAGCGTGGGTATTTTTTCTAAATAGTTTTTGCAAATGATATCCAGTCGGGAAAAATATATCATCAATAGCAATGTACTTTCTGATAATATAAGTCTTAGTACTAATTAAAGTTTTTACACATTATCAGCTAGCTAAAAACCATATATGTTATAAAGAGTGTAGAGTAAGGCCTTTTTCTTTTAACATGTTTTTTGGCTTATATGTCTAAAAATTCATGTAAATGTTCAATAATCATGCAGTTAGTAAAGTACCGACTTTGTGTTTAACTTGCTTTATGCTTCTAAAATTTTATGCCCACGCAAATAGATGCTACCCACAGCCATCCTTCAGAAGGTTCAGGCCCTTCATAAGAGCAAGTGTTTTGTCTCTTCTTCGTCAGTCTCTTGATGACCATTGTGTCTATATTGCACAGTAATTATGTACAATGGCGTGGTCAAAAAATATTCCATTTGACTAACCCCCATTCACTTTCTAGGTAGAAAATGTAGAACGATGGGGGAAGGAAAACAACTTTCTTCAACTCATCAAAATCATCATCATCCCCGTTTTGCAATGTACCGATTATCATGAAAAGCATGTCACGTGATTACTACTAAATTTGTAATTGGTCATGTTACAGTCATCGCCCCTACTCCTCGTTAGCTTAGGGTCCACTTCTCTTGACCGTTCAAAAAATGGAAAATGGGGGCTGATTTCCATTATTGTAGGCAATTAGCAGATACTTAATGGCTTGAACCACATCGTGAAACCGCTAATCGATTGGCCAATGTTTGATTGACGGGTGGCTTAAGCCATTCTAGTATCTGTTGATTCTCTTCAAACTTCAACTTCTATGTTTGGAGAACTTTCGTGTTTGGAGAATCAGATCCAGAATAAGATTTAGATTTATATGTTCGCAAATAGGTCGAAGATTCGAAAAACTGTCATTTCGTTTAAAATGTAACTGGAAAGAGGATCTAACTCCTTTTAAAAGTATTTGACACTCAAGTAGCTGTCATAAACAATCTCAATATATTTCGTGAAGGGGTGTACCATATGAAGGTAGTTTTTAAAAGACTGGGAAGCTGTGCATGTCAAGCAGTGTCCTGGCTCCTCTTCATGATATGACCACACTCCGTGTTTCGATCCACAAACCGTGGATCTGTAGCCCGCTACCCTAACCAAATCGGCTGTCTTCACACTGTAACTTGTAACTTTTAACTTGAGAAAGAAGAACACATAAATCAAGCCCTTTTCAGGTTATCAAAATGATAATTTTAGAAACATCCAAAGCTCAAGTAAGTGTTTAATCTTCAATACAGCGAACAAGAACATCTTTTTCTTAAGCATTTATTTTAGCAGAAAAACAGCTGCTCGAGAGACGAGAAAACTAATGTTGCTGCAACAATCAGCTTCAGGATGATAATCTTTCCTTGATCAAATAATGGAATACTCTCAAGTATTGATTATCTTCTCTAGCAAAGCAAATTAAGGACTTTCTTTGAACAACGAAAGTTGCAGCTGTTCCTTGATCTTGTACTGATGGAATTCGCGACTGCAAAGGGCAGTCTTAACAGAACAGCATCATATGTTGAGTAAGCTTTACCTGTTCGAAAAAAATCTTACGCAACAAAAAATGTGGTCCACCGCATTAGATTTTTTTTTAAAAAACAGTCTCTGAAATTTGAAAGTTCCTACATATTCCAAGTATTTTCAGTTTGCTGATACCGGAAGGAATTAAGACCGGTCCGGCTTCTGCAAGTGTCTCTTTCTGTTTAGTTGCCGCTAAATACTTTTCAAATGTCGCTTAATGTCGCACTATGCCGCACTATGTCGCACTATGTCGCACTATGCCGCACTATGCCGCACTATGTCGCACTATGCCGCACTATGTCGCACTATGTCGCACTATGCCGCACTATGCCGCACTATGTCGCACTATGTCGCATTATGTCGCACTATGCCGCACTATGCCGCACTATGCCGCACTATGTCGCACTATGCCGCACTATGCCGCACTATGCCGCACTATGTCGCACTATATCGCACTATATCGCACTATGCCGCACTATGTCGCACTATGCCGCACTATGCCGCACTATGTCGCACTATGTCGCACTATGCCGCAATATGCCGCATTATGCCTTGTCAGTTGACCGTGCATAGTTGATTAGTATTGTTCTGTAAAGCCTAGGCAGCATCATCATTATAACATAACGATGCATATCTCTATATAAATACGCTAACATGCTACCAAACAGCGGCCTAAGGGTACATTTATGCTGGCCATAAGTTGTTGTCCATCCAACAACTGACTTGTTCATATTTGACCGGCTGAGTTAATGTCTAGAGCTGCAAGAATCGGGCATACAATCTTTCTCCGAATACAGGATTTGCTAAAAAGGAAGAAGGAGAAGAACCGATAGCCTTATCTGGTGGCTAAAGATACCAATTTCCTGACACATTTTCGCATAGGCATAGAAGTAACAAAGAAGGCCTCTTGTTTAACCAACATTTCACAAGATGTTTCCTACAGTTCTGACAAATTTTTGAACAGGGAGGAGGAATTAGTAACAGCCACGATGTCTTCATTTCTTGTCATTCTCCAAACCAACGAGCTGATGTCACCTTAACAGCAGAAGGAGAAAGACGTTAGGGCTGTTCGGCATCCAGTATACCTTTTTCTCGCTACGACCATGCTTCTCAAGAGTTTTGAAATATGAAGATCACCATCTAATGGACAGTGCAAAAATATCCAGATGAATTTCAAGCTTTTCCTATACGACGTCATGGCCAACCAACGTCATAATGATAGTCATGGGCTTAGCTTTCAAAAATTTCGGCCTAAAGTCACACAAAGTTACGGACTAGCAAACAACCTATTGCTTGACATGGTGTACATTTGGAGGTTAATGTCGGTTACTTTACGAGTATAGTTTAATTTATAGGAAATAATGAATAACTTTTTAGGAAGAATTTGCGAAGTCCTTTGTGAACTGATGAAATATCAATATTTGATGATGATTTATAGAATTTGAGCTCACTTGTCCCTCTTCCTTAGCTCTTATCAACGATTTATAATGAAATCAATTAAAAAATCACTGAAGATACTTGTTTGGAAAACCCTTAGTTTGATTGCTGATGCAATTCGATCCTTTCAACGTTCTTGCATAGAACGTGCTCATCAATTGCATCTATGTTCGGCACTGAGGTATTAAACCAACATGCCAATGATTTGAGAACTTGTAAATTATACCACAGCTCATTTGGTACGAATGCTCTACGTATAGACATTGCATTGGGTGATATTTTATCCACAGTGGGACCACTAGACGTCATGATAGCATCTGCAAACGTTTTCTTTACAACTGCTTTCTTAACTGTCCACGTAACAAAGGAAGCGAAATGCTAAAACTAGTTAGCCATGCAAAAAAACTGTTTTGCTGGCAATTTCAAAATATAAACAAGTTGATATCTGGAATGTAAACTAAGAAGAAAATACCATTTAGCTAACTTTTAGACTTCTTTCGACTTCCCTCTTCTACGGAAGACTTAAGGCCAGATTCCATTTCACTTTGGACGCGCGACTTTGGCGAAAGCGAGTCATCAAATCAGCGAATCGGCGAATGCGACCAGTCGCTCAGTATTTCAACTGAATTGAACTACTCAGCGAATGGTTGCGAATTCGCAGTAAATGGGCAAATTCAATTTGCGCATGCTCCAACATGCATTCGTTCAGTCGCAAGGCTAGAACCCCGCCTTGACTATGTAACAAATGGTGACATTTTCAAACCTCTTTTCAACCATTCCTCCCCTACCATATTCTCGATGATTTTGGATGATAGGAAAATTGAATCATTGGAGAAACTTGGGTGGACATGTCAACCCTAATCTTTCCCGTGGCGCCAACGGGGCGCTATCAAGCCTCGTATCAGATATGTATACATAAAACATTATTTGGTTCAGCATTTTAACTTTAGCGTTTATCTCAGTGTGTCTATTTGAAGTTAGCTGTTGCATACAGTAGCGGCGCTACGGGAGGGGGGACTGGGGGTGGGGACACGTCACCCCAGTTGTCGGCAGGATCGATTTTGTATTTCGTTAAATTCTATGAGAAAATGTTTGGGAAGTGGTAATTTTTGGCAGCGTACTTTTTGTGATGTAATCCTGAGATTTTCAAACTGCCTTTACGCAGCCAAAAGTTAGTTATGAGCGTGCCCTTCAGAAAAATTGGCGTGCTTTTTTGTAAAAGAGCGTTTTTGAGCCTTAAAAAGGGCGTGGCCTAAATGTTTTATTCCCCCCCTTTTATTCAACTATAATAACAAAGTATTCAAAGGTTTCAAGGAGAGTAGATACTCGTTTATGTACCCCAAATGGTTTGCAAAATCCATCTTTTTAAAAACCAATGCTTGTTAAACTGTTAGCCGGTTTGCAATAGCGTAGCCAGGGTGGGAAGATTGGGGGAGAGGGGACGGAAATTTGGGGTCACCTCCTTTTGAACGCCAGAAAACAATCGTTACTCGCATCGTACTGTTGATTTGATCCGACGGCTTCAATCATTTAGAGGAAGGACTGTTTCAATCGTTTCAGCCCTCCTCCGTCTCCTATAGTTTGCATTCCAGTACATGATTGTCGTATTTTGGTTTGTGGTGTATTGAGGAGTGTCTTTTTAATATAAATTTTCTACCCCCGGTTTTTTTGTGCAACGAAAGTAAGGCTGATATATTTCTTCTTGTATCGACCTATCCGCCACCCCATCAATGCGTGCAGAATTGCAGTCAACGCAGGTTCCGCAAATGGAACAAAAGCGCTGCACAAGTCATTTATTATTGTTACATGCTCTTCAAATACTTGATGTATACAATCTTGACTGAAATTTACTGAAATTTAACAATAAGACAATGATTTTATAGTTTATTAGGGGATTGAAATCTTTGGAAAGCTTTACTTGCTCTCGCAAAGTTCAGTGTTGCGGTGCAAGCGCTATAACCGCTTCCAAGTCGGTCTGCGTCATAGAAAGGTTCAAAGATATTGCTGTTACCTTAGTTTTACTAGTATTAGACGAAAGTTTGGTACCTCTGTATATCTTCTTCTTATAACATCTACAGTCGAACGTCTTGGAATCATTAATGCCACTATAAAATGCAAGGAAATTTTTGACGTCACATACTATTTTTCACCTTGCTACGTAATTTCAATGGAGGGTTTTTCCAACAGACGCTCAGGACGTGCTCTAAACCAAAATTTTGTGAGAAGAACAGGATGGCGTAGGATTTTGAAACTTGACATTGCTTACGCATTGAAATTACACTGATGTAATGAAATTAATTGTGGAATTCGAAAGTAATTGTTTAAAGATAAGTAGTTTTAATCAGCTTTCTGGTCTTGTCTAAAAGATGGGAGAACGCTTTTCTACAAAGCGTGCTTAATTTTTACTCATTGAGAAATTTCACAAAACGGTAAGTTTTCAAAATTATTGTATGAGACATTTGCACTGAGGCGATACATCTCGAAATCTTGGCAGGAGCACTCCTGAAGTAACTGCCAGCATCTTTAGATTTAGAATTTTCTATCTATGGATTTAGAATGCAGACATGCATCTCTGGAGGGTGGCTAAGTAATGCTTTTGAAGGTCGTGCTTATTTCACGTTTGGCTAAGTGAAGTAGCTATCTCTTCGAAGTAATAACAAAATGTTTCATCCAAGACGATGCTAAACTTTCGAAAAGATGATGCTGGGGTGTGCCCCGATCTTCTTGAACCCCTATATTGCTACCCCTGCCAACACTATATCCCTCTGCCTTACTTCTCCTTTCAGGCCATCCCTTTTTTCAACCGTTCACTGTTATCTTCTTTTACTCGTGCTTAAACTCTTCTTAAACTTCCTGGTTCCACTTTTTACACTGAGTAACGTTGAATGGTACTCGTATAAACAGAGAACATCAAGTAGTCACGTGTGCATATCTTCCTATAAATTTGTCGTCTAGCAATCATTGGGCACGGCGGTGCCTGACTGGTTTGGCAGAAGATCATAAGTCTCATTCAAGGTTTGCAGTCTTGTCACAGGTCAAGAGAAGAAGTTGGTGAGTGAATACACATGATTTATATCTTGTATAATCATATATAGATTACATCTTTACATACCTACAGAAATTAAAAAATGTTGTTAATCTAGACCTCTATTTTTCTTTTCACATGCAACTAACTCAGTCGTTTATATGCTGACCTTGCTTTTGCAAAATATGAAGAGTAATAGATAAAAATTGGAAACCAGAGATGGCATTTTATGCGATTTTATTTCTGTCTCTATTGATTGTCCATCGAATGACTCCTTTTATGAAATGCGCTCTTTTATACTGTCCTTTGCTCAATGTTTGTTTATTCCAAGTCGTTTCTTTTAACATCGCCCCTGCTTTTTGCAATGCAGTGCTCCATGCTCCAAACTATAACTAAATCATTTCTATCGTGAATAAAAGATATCGAAAACGCTACACAACGGTATAAATTTGTAAAAGTGCGTTATACATCTATCTTATTTTCGTTTTATTAACTTACAATCCCAGACAAAATTGTTGAAACAAAGTGCAATTTTGCAATTTTCTATTCTACGTTCCCCCGGTTTATTCGAATCCCCTTCCCCCAAAATAAATGTTGGGTTTGTAGTTTTATCATTTCTCCTTCAATATCATGCATTCATCGTTGAATTGGAGGAGGGGGAGTTATTTTTTAAAGGAAAGAGAAAATATCAACTTTCCTTGAAACATCTCAACTATTTTTTGTCTGGGATTGTACTTATTTCGCAAAAGTTTTATTCTGCAGAAACCTCGATCATTTTTGTCATCATCAGCGAGTGCATACATATGTAGCAATAGCTGCACGTGCTCACTATTTGTTGCATTTTTTTGGGACTAGTCGCATGCATTAATACACATACCAATAATTCATCTGATATTTTCCAACGGTAATCAAGCTTTCCAGCGGCATGTCCAAGCTAATTGTTTATATACAACCCACCGCAAAAATGTTAGTTGCCCGTTACAGCAGCGTGCTACGTTCTGTTGATGCAATAATTTTCTAGCGTCGCCCACTACTACGCTTGTCGTATTTCAAACATACACCGCACCGCAAGGTTCCGATTCGCCTTAGAGATACTCGTGTTTGCTATTTTAATCAGCTATTTTTACCTATTAAAGTGCACTCATTAATGTTTCAGCTGGTGCGGCAAATATTCTCCAATCAGAACTTTGCGGAAAATTTCACCTGCGGAAAACTTTTCCAGATGTTGTTTTTGACTTTAAGATCCCCCTGCGAGTCAAAAGTAAGCTCTGCTTTAGTTGCTCGAGTCCTGATGAATTTATTTTGAGCGCATCTGCATGTTTTAATAGTTTCATTTATGCCTGAACGCGGAAATTTCATGGGTACACATACAAAATCTTTGATAAATGAGAACAACAAATGTGTAAAGCATAATTTGCAAAATTAATGTCCCTTGTTCTTCTATTTGTTTCCACTAATGAAACTCATGTTTTCGACTCTTACAGTAGTGGATGAATTATCGAGAAATCGAGGGTTCGAAACAACTAGGGTTTGAACAGTCAGGCTAGTTCTATACGTTTTTAGCAACCACGTAAATGGCTGACAAAAAACGATGTCAAATAGTAAAAGACACGATTCACCTAATGACAACCCAATACTTGGACTGTTGCTAAAGAAGTTGAATATAAAAATCTGCCGAAGGTAAGAAATAGTCAAAACTGGGCGACCTCGTCAGCGCGTCATGGGGTGTTCATGCTCAACAAGCACACGGTATAATGGCCTGTGCTCCAGACCCCCAACCTGAAGGACGCATTGGCTACCGGAGACATTGTCTCATTTTATTGGGAGAAAAAACTTAGCAAAAATTGTCATTGCTTTAAGACGTCAGCCTTTATTCAAAAAAAGAAAATTTTTTTGAAAGAACACTAGAAGATTGTTTTCGTACACTTAATGTTCTCGTTTCAGCAGTCCCTGGACAACAAAAGCGGAAACGCAAATGAAGGTGTCATTGAAGACAAATATCGTTTTGCCAATATAAATGTTTAGTAGCCAGCAAACACAAATATTTTTTTCGAAGATCAGCCACAGAATCTCTATTCTGTCATTCAGACTTCGGCTCAGCCTTCGGTTCTATGCGGCTACTTGTAGTAAAAGGAGCGGGCCTTATGTTAATCAGCCGGTATAGGCGATGCCAATTTTTGGGTTATGGCGTCTCGAAAACTGTACTTTGTTATCTCCAAAAAGATTTCCCGTCGGACGCATTTTGCTTTGTCGCCACATTGAAAATGAAAATTTCTCCGAAATTGTACTAAAAAGGCGTTCATCAGGCAGAGCTTGCAATTGTAAAAACCATTGTTCGCCCCGGTTTCATTACAGTTTGAATAGTGTACCGGGTTTTTTGAACCGGCAGGTCAAAGTGTCTTTGAATAAAGCACCCAATGTTACTTATGGTAGCGCCACACATCCCCAGTTCATGGCACGATCGATTTTGAGGCTCGACTTGCTAAAAAGGAAAAACGTGCCCAGCATCAGTTGTTTTATTAGATAAATGTATAGTATGTACTTGTAAAAACCCATTGTGTGAATAAAAACAATATTAAGAACAGCCGAGCTTCAAATTATCCAAAAAGTAAGAACACCGTGCATTGGCATAAGTTATCCGGTTCTTTTTAAAAAGTGTACAATCTCAATTAAACGCCTCCTCCATTAAACGCCTCCTCCATTAAACGCTTCCTCCATTAAACGCCCCCTTTTTAAACACCTCCATCTAAAAAGCCGTAACAAATTCCTCAAAAATATAATTAGCATTTATAAGATTAATCAAAGTATCCCGTATTCCAATCCACAACGAGGAAAAGGCCTTTTCATTGCTATGCTTGATCTAATTACTTTTAAAAAGCGGTTTTCTCCAACCTTCCCTGAATTTTACGTCCCTGATCTCGCTCCTTTTAAAGAAAATCTAATCAAATGTTTCGAACAAAAAAAAACAATGATTAAGATTAATTACGTTTAAATAAGTTAGTGTAACACATTAAACATGTTGCTGACAAAGGGAAAGTAATAATTGTCTCCCCAACATTTTTTGTGATTAATTGTCTCGTGCTCTTCCAAGCAATTCTCCGTAATTCACATGTGATGTTTATTCAAAACATAATTAATTGCCATGCCTTTAATTTTTTTGAGATGTAGACACGCCTTGGCATTACCGACGCCTTAATTTGTAGTGTTTACAATCATAATTGTGTTGCTTAGGACGATTTCAACAAGGGTTATTCGTCAAAGTCTAAATCGAGGATTGAGCAATCAGCCAATTTAGGAGGAGGTTTCTTGTTAATGGCACGATATCATTTAAGTTCACTAACACAGAAAGTTTTTACTTCATGAAAAGGTGCATAAGATTGGAAAGTAAAGACCCTTTGTAAGCTTTATTTGATATACCTATTTTTTCATTTGATGATATGTAATGCTGATACTCAATGCTTTATGAATGTTTTAAAATCGATCAACTTCAAATTTTGTTAGTTAAAATGGCTTTTTATGAAATACTTTAAAGTCCTTGTAAAACTTAGCAGGCAGCATATACATAAGCGTACGCTAGAGGTTAGTATGGTGTACGATGGATTCCCATGAAATGGGCGTTGTATCATATGTCATCAAATCTGCCTCTCTTTTCACCTGCTGTTAAGTAGAACTACAAATAAAACTTTTAAATGACATCCTAACAAGCATTTATGTTACAACTGCCCCACTTGCAACTTTGCTTAAATTGGAGAAAATTATCTTAGATAATAGGGATGTAATCTCTGGAATCGTGCTGCAAAAATGTGCATTCATATATATTCCTAACCACAAGAATTTGCTCCACAAATTCATAATTTTGTTGTTAATAAGTTGCATTTTATTGTTGTTTGTAATTCATTTACTGTATTTCCAAAGAGGTTGCTTGTCTCAGGCACCGTGGAGTAGGGGGCTGGGGGGGGCTCCCCCCACTTTCGCAAAAAATGACCAATATTTAGTACTAAACTACCAGTAAAGCCTCTTTCTATAAGGTTTTAGTCCTTTTTTAGACCCCCCACTTTACTCAACCCTCCACGGTGCCTGTGTCTGGGCATAAAAAACTACCGTATTTTTGACTATGCGTCAATCCTCGATTCAACACCCCCTCATTTGTGCACCTCCTAGAAAGAATTTAAAATGAGCCCCCCCCCTTTTGAACATGATTTTTCCAATTTAACCTCTCTAGAAAGTAGATTTCCAATTTAACCTCTCTTGAAATGAGCAGCCTATCCTCAAATGGATGCTTCCTTTTCACATTGATTATTAGGAAGTACCTTATATTTTAATTGGAAAGACGTTTGCGATTTCGAAAAAACACCTCTCGAAAATGAAAGCTCCCGTCAAAACCCGGCTCTCCTACTTTTAATGCCTCCCCCTTTCCAAAGAGTGTCTGCAATTTTAACATCCATAATTTAGCTAAGTTTTGTCTAGACGTTTCTAAGTCTAAGTTAACAAGAGCAATCATTTTATATTGACTGATATAGCTGTGCTAGTGTCTTTTATAATTAGTTGTAATTCCTCTTTCCCTGGCCTGATATCGCTAAATTGTTTCATTGGTTTTTTATAAGGGTACTGCGCACTTCTGTTGCAATTTATTCTGTATCTTGTAAACCAGCTTTGACTTGATAGCAATAGTGTATTTAATCTAATTATCGTCTTTTGATAAAGAAGCTCGGAATAGAAAAGGGATTGATCATTTATATCGTGTGTAGGTCAAAGTTGAACGGTGTATAAGATATGTAACCAAGGAGGTATTTTTTCGATAGGTTTGCGCAAGTGGGTGAAAAACGCTATTGCTGGAGGGTTACCGCAGTTTTTGCCAAGAAGTAAGGTAACTGAAATATTTTTCTCTTCCAAAGCATCCTTCAAATCTTGATTTAAAATGAAATCTAATAGTAATCCTGCACCTTGGGGGTGTTTCCTCACCCGCGTCCCTTATCAGTTATGCGAAAGGTTAATTGGGAATCAATCGTTGGCATAAAATCAACTTCGGTACTCCTTTAATGATAGACAATATTTTTGTATACGCTAGAATTAAAATGACATATTCCAGGCACCGCGGAGCGTTGAGAAAAGTAGGGGAACTAAAAATGGGGGGGGGGGGGCTAAAAATACAATTTATTGCTTAATATTTGGCATTTGTGTACGCACAATATTTGGCTAAACCATCCCAGCCCCCTGCTCGAAGGTGCCTATAATATCTTCTTCTTAATTTAGTATCCATTGTCATGATTTCACCTCAATGCATTAGAAGATACAGCAAAATTACGATGGTTTCGTATGCCAGCGGGTCCTTTTCAAATGGGGGAAAGTCGGACGGGTACTACTTTTAACGGGAATTCTGTTTTTCACATTTAACCCTTTTTAAAAATTTATTCTACAGCTTAGTTTGTTCTGATATTTAATTTTCCAGGAAGATATTTTCAATACACAAAACCAGACCTAAACCTTTTCTATTATCTCCAAATTTAGAAATGGCTTACAATATCAGAAGTGTTGTCCAGAATGAAGGAATGAAAATTTTCATATTGGTATGTTTACTTTCTAATATCGTTTTTTTTAAATATCGTAATATCGTAAACCACGATCAGTTTGGGGAAAGCCCATGGCTAATTTTTGGGTATATAGTGGCAGCTTCAATATCAAATAACCACAAAAAGATATATTTTTCCAGAACAATGACCTTCACCCAGAATTTTTTCAGGAAATTGAGACGGATTGCAAACTGGACTCTGTCGAGGTCTTTCGGGGGGGGGGGCGTCTCAAACCCTTAGGCGCTACTTATCATTGAACTAATTCAAAGATTTTGTAAGTGTGACATCATAAATTCATTTCTTAGATTTAAAGCTGAAAGAACAGAAACAACTCTAAATCATTTTAAATAGGTTCCAATTTGGTCGTGATATGGCTAATGAAAAGTCTAAAGCTTGCTCAGTCTGAGGGCTAAACAGTTTTTTTAGGCTTGGTTCATTAAGTTTGTAACAGAGAACAAAGTAAAGTAAAATTCCCCACAGTCTAGATCTGCCCTCGCAGTAGTACGAATACCTCATATAATCAAATGAATGCTCTCCAGTTGAAATACTTTTGTTGTAAGTGTTGCTACTTCGAAGCTGTTATTTTAGGACATTGTCTTACAGTTGTAGAATTTACCAAAAATAGGCTTTGGAAGAATCGAAAAGCACGATGTTTGGAGGGGAAAGATTATCTCTTGGCCAATTTGCAACACATTTTACATATTTAACTAAATAAAATATATTTCGTGATGGTATCTCAAGATATTTGGTTCAAGTTAAAAGATTCTGAAAATAGATATGTATGACTTCATCACTAAAGGACTTTATTAAGAATTCTAAAGACTTAGCCGGGTATAGCATTACTGGGTACCAGAGACTCAGAGAGTCAAAGAAAGTAAGAATGTGGAAGAAGAATTGTGAACGTGAAGTGTGCTAGTTACCCCTCTTGCACTCCAAAATGGTCGAGGGTCCATGAAACCATATTTAATTAGGCACAGTCATTGACATGATGTTCTAGTTATGGTATCCAGATAAGGGGTTTGTGTTTACTGTTTGTTTGCAAACAACCTGTGTTGTAGTCTTATCACTGAATAAAACTTTCAATTTTGGTTTAATAAGAATGTTGATTTGCACATGGAATATTGCATTTTGGGTGAAGTTGGCAACCATGCCCTAATTTTGGTTGGATACTTTGATTAACGTTTTGCACATTACCAAGAAAATTTGTGCAATTTTCTGACGACAGCCAAAGAAAGAAATCACCCATGAGTATGTAAATAAATAATATTTTCGCATTATTTTTTTTGGATGAGGGTCCCTGGCTTTGGACCAGTCGTATTCCCTTTCATTGAGACCGATTGTTGATAATTGAGAATTAAAGTTTGTCTCCTTATATCCAACAAGAAAACTGTTTCTTGAAAACTTTAAACGCCTGAGAAAACTTTTCTGCAGGTTGACCCTTCTATTTCAAAAGTACCTGAAGTCGAGCTAAGCAATTTTATTTCAGATGTACCTGAAGTCAAATGTTTAAAATCAGTGTCAGAGAAGATGTTCATATCTCCTGCCACCAACCATAGCTAAAAGCTCAATTCTGAAAAGCCATTGAAAGTAAGGCGTGGTCGGGGTGTGGGAGCTGAATTGCTTTGGCCGCCCTTTACCTTATTGTCATCATTAGACATGTGACCATCAAAGGATTTCACAACTGATGGACTGGAATAAAGGGGGAGTGGAAAGTCTAGATGCACAATAGGGGAAATGATTTACAAAAAGCTAAACTCTAGAGAATATAGCAACAGAATGATTGATTCAAGGAAGAAAATTATAAGCGGGAGGGGGGGGGGGGAGATTCTCACTAGAGCAGAAGTTCTTAATAGTGCGGGGAGAGGTTGGAAAAATTTTGAAAAATTGACAAGAGGGATGCGTTTATTACGCACTTAAAATACTAACGGCTTCTAGCATGTTCAATAAAAGTCACAACTAAGTGTTTATTCATCAATTATGACAATAAAAGATTTGCAAAAGTAAAAGCGTCGTATGCTTTCTAATAAATGCTTCTTATATATATCCTGATAATACAGTGTAATCGATTTAATTGATGATACAGGAAAAAGATAAAATCCCTTCGAGTTAACGAATGTTCGAGTTAACAGGAGTTATCGTTACTATCATTTACAATATTTTTTATGCTAGAGATTGTTTTCTAGGTACTGTGGATAATATCAAATGCTGTGATGTTCTACTTCTCGTACCAAAAGTATTGTAGTGGTGCTCAATACTACTACTTGCGTCGAATTCTTGGGGTAAGCAATCGTTTGTTTTTGGCCAATGCTTTTAATATATCTCTGATGAAAGAAAATTAGCCGATCAAATGAAAGACGTTAAAATTCAATTTGCTTGCTCCAATTTTTGTAGAAATCACATTCTACAAATGGAAGCAAGCATTTTGTGGGTCAAAGGTTCACAAAATACAAGTTGCTCGACGGTTTATAAAACAAAGATTGATAAAACATTAGGTGTTTAGGACTCTGTCAAAAGAAACTCACTAATAATGGCAAAATGGCTTCGAAATTTTAAACTTCTAATGTTCACAGCCCAGATATCTAGCTACCTACAGGCCTGCAGACCGTCCACTTTAACCTGGCCTAAATTTAGGCTATTATCTTGATAAAGTTGCGAATTACAAGTTGGACCGAAAACTTTGCTTTCACTTTTCTAAATAAGACTGAGAACAAGAGGACAAAATTTTTTAAGACAATTAGATTTATTTGTTATTGTTGTTGATATCATAGAGCACTCTTCAGAAAGGCTAACTTTTCATACAAGTGTTTTGGGATCTGTTTGCAAAACAAAAGGCCCCGAAGTTTCTTTGCCAATAAAAAATTAGTGTCTGAGACGATTGTAAGAAATGTGTTCATTGTTCGACCACCCTAGAAATAGATGTAATACTTTTCTAATAATAGAACCTAAAGAATGTGCAACATAAAAGCATATTACAGTTACAGATGTAAATATAGACAGACCATTGTTCATATTGGGTATTTCCCAGAACGTGGCTTTGAATAAACATCGTTTAAAATGGCTTCTAATTACCACATGCTCATTACGCTGCTCTGAATGTAATATCAACTGTGAGTCATAATAATAATCATAATCATGAAATCAAAACATTTAACCTACCCCTACTTACTATTTCCGGTATTTTTCTTTTGCAGGAGTCATTGTGCGTTTCCCGAGCAACTGCATTTCTGCTATATTTTAACTGCTTTCTAATATTGTTACCTGTTTGTAAATCTTTGCTCACTTGGCTGAGAGTTCATATTCAAAAGGTAATCCATCGAAGCATTTATATATACACATAATATTTATCAACGTCAAAAATTATTAGAGTTATTGGAGAGGGGGGTTAACTCCCTCTCCCTCGAGTTTGACCTAAATCAGAAAGTTTTACCCCGAAAAACGGATGTTTTTTGTGTAGGAAATAGAAAACCTTCTAGAACGGAAACACAGTAATCTTCTGCATTTGCCTTAACCTTCAAAATCATAATTTGCAATGTTTTTATGCGCCTTAGTTGTTGCTTGTCCTTTACTTCATTTGATCTTCATTTTTCATTAAATGGTCAATCTGTATTTGATTTCTAACAATGCAAAATAAACATTGCCTTACACTCTTTTTTTTATAAGAACCAGTAAATTTAAGTTCAGGATGACTGTTCTTAATTTTTTCGAAAATCTGAGGCTGGATTGTTCTTAATATGTTCTTAATCTAATAGGGTGTAAGCAGTGCGAGTGCTAGCTTTTTCACTCTAGGGAGGTGTTCAGGCCCCAATTTCCAACAAAGTGAGTGAGACAACCTTCGGTTGCCGAAAAGTTTGAATATTAGAAGCACCGACACATCGCTAAAAATCCTCGATTTTGAGAAAAAACGTAATTCAAAATTGCATTTTGTAGAAGCTCAGCCTCAGCTTGTTCTTAATTTTTTTCTTAACTTTTGACCCATTTTTAGGCTCGTGTTCTTATAAAATTGTTCTTATAAAAAAAGAGTGTACTTTTACTAATTTTAATTGCTCTTTCCGGCTTGCGTAGTATCAGTATCATTGGGTCCAATGCTCATCAGCATTCATTGTTTCACGCATCTTTTCCTTCTGTTTCAAAGAAATAAGGTCTATAAGACATCGTTTCTTTTCCATTTACAGTATATCAAAGGAGCACACAGAAGACTGTTCAACCACAACAACAAATTTCATATTGTACTGCATCTCCCTCTCCCCCTCCGAAAAATGTTGTTTTATGCATTATTTAAGGGTTCACTATGGTCCAATGGATTGATTTCATAACGTAAGCACTACAATCAACATTCGATTAGGGGAGGGCTGGTGCGGTACTTTTACCGGAAACTGTTTATTTTTTCAAAACAACACAAAAACCTAGGCGTTCAAGAGACTTTTGGCAGAAAGCCTTTTATGTCAAATACTAACATAAGCTGAAATGTCTCTTACATGCAGTTAAATAAACATGGCAATACATGATGCTTACGCCAAACGTGAAGAATCACAGGGCGCCCTTTGATTTGTAAACACGAGTTGCGATCGAATACGTAGGCCATTGCGTGAACACGGCAAATAAGGAAATATTGTTATGAATTAACATGTTAATTAGTTTTTGTTTTGGAGTTTTTTCAAAAAAGATTCCTATACGGAGATTAGACAATTTTATTTTTCTTTTAATCGTGCTTTTATCATTAACAAGCCAGCAAAGCTCAAGTTTGTACCTCCTTAGAAATTTCCACAAACTACTTAAATATAATTCAGGTTCTCTTCTAAATTGTATTTGCTTTTTTGGCTTTCTTTTGTTTATGTGGGTGGGAGCTCTCAGCATTTCTGAAAGAGCAATATAGTTATCACCTGTAGAAGGTTCAGAAGGACGTCATATTGCTACACCTTAACTTAGAAATTTGGCTTTCAAAATCTGGCTTTCAAAATCAGGCAGGCCTTAAAATTCATCCCTTATTTTGTTTGCAG